GATTCATTGATTGTCCACGATAGACCGTAAATGGATATTTGTAGTTTGTAGACGAACATGATTTGAGTAATTGTTGATAAATGTCGACAATAAAATCACGAAACTGCAGCGTAGTTCTCATATTTTCCGTCCGTAACGCTGTATTTAACAGGTTTGCCAAGAAGCTAGGACGCGTATACCACAAGATCGCTTTATCGGATGTATACTCAGTTTCAAACTCATCAATAGATTTCTGCGCTGTAGAATTGTCCTTATAATAATGTCGACATTCTTCTAGCATTTTCGAATAAGCTTTATTCGTTATTTTAGGTTGATACAGTAACACATCTGTCAGAAGTTGAAACCAAATAAATGCGGCTTGCTGTTGGTTTAATGAGTTGATTGATATTTCGACTGCAGGTATGGTAGATTGAAAGGTACTTGTTGAGAATTCTGCTTTGAAACCAAGAAAGTTATTAATTCGCTGTGTTAATCTGTTGTTAGTCATTTTGGTTACGTCCAAGAGAAGCTGTTGGAAAAGTTCATTTATGTTCACGAAAATGTTGCTTGAGAGTTTAAAATACTGTTTAGTTAACTTTTGTTGACTTGTTTCACTTTTGTGCTGGAACTGATAAATTGCTACGATTTGTTTAAGATTATGTAAGAGCTCCAAAACAGATCTGTCAAATGGATCTGATATAATAAAAAATACTTTATCGTTTGGATTTGCCATTAAGTAGGCGATACAAATACATGGATCGGTATACGTTTTCACAGATAAATTTGTATTTGGTATTGAATATTCGTCCAAACCTATATTACCAAGACATACCACTGTCGTCGATACTCCTTCAATTTCGCTTTCGGTGTTAGAAGATTTACTATGAGGAGTGGTCATCATTGTCTGAGTAATCACATTTTCTAGAGCAAAAAAACTATATAATGATTGAAACTAGATTACGAAAACTAGATACAATTGTAAATGTGTTGCATAAATACTTATTCTGCGTGTCTTGAACCTGAACTAACGCGCTTCAGTTATTACATTAGAAAGAACGGTGGGTTGAAGATATGAAACATGTGTATTACCATCTTTTCTGCACAGAGTAAAAGCAATTGTGATTTATTTAAATCAATATCCTTATCAATCCAAAAACAATTTGACAGTTGGGGCTCATCCCCCGTCCGTGACTGAAGGTGTAAAGAGCTGAATGTGTTTTCTCATTATGGCTGTAGTTAGGCATGCACCCGTTATAGTTAACTGTAAAACTGTAACTGTCATAACTGTAGGCAAATATTCCAGAGTGAGTTAGTCTTGTACGATTTGCATACATTTTAAGAATGTCTCTATTCTTAAAACGTATGCAGATCGCAGAAGATTAATCACTCTAGAATATTTGCCTGAAGTTATGTTATGACAGTTATAGTTATCAGCAGTGTTCCTTACTAGCTGGAAAAGAACACTCCACCTTTCCAATGTCGACTCGACATTGTCGAGCCCTTCTATGAAGAAAGGCTTTTTTTGTTGTATTATAAATTTTTTCGATTTTGTTTGGTTTTTTATAAGATAGTCTAAGTAACAAGCATTCGCACGAGGCGAGCCGAAGAGACAAACGAAAGCTTGAATAAGATAATTAATTAAATAAAAATTCTGATGAAAAATCTCTAGTTTACTAGAGAGGGCTGCAACAAAAAAAAAATTAAGAAGTGAAGAGAAGCATCCGTGTATGCGATATAGTATAAAGAAGTGGTTGAAACAGAGATTTTTTCAGTGCATCTGTTTTTTCACATTTTAAAGGGTCTTGTGAAGCTTTCTATAGAATATTATTCTCTATCATGCCACGTTGTTTCTCTCTTTTGAAAGAGAACGTAAAAGAGTTATACGAAAATAGCTGACTGATTTAGTTAATTACATGAATGTGCTTTCGTTTCTATACCGCCAGGAGACATAGAGAAAGGGAAAGAAACGAGGGAAAAGTCGATATAAATAGAAGAAAACTGTCCCTGCTGATTATTTGGTTAATCCTTGACAGTATCGGTTCTGTAATCAATAGTACGCCGTTTTACGTTGAAGATGAAAATTCTCTGGATCGTATGTTCTGTTTCGAGGACGATAAGAGTGACGAAAGTAATATGGATTCAAATGAACCGTCTCAAAATGATTATTATCTTCATGATGACAAAGAAAATATTCTGCTTCGGTCGTTTAGTTTCGAATGTGTGCGATTTCGATTTGCGCGAGAGATGCTCGTTGACGAGAAAGATCTAAAAATAGGTAAACGGAAACGGAGTTGGGCGACAGTTCAAAATCCTTTCACTACAGGCTCTTACAGAAAGTACATTTTTCGTTTCCGTCATTGTTTAGTATGAAACGGAATAGAAGTCCAAAACAATTTATTTGAAAAAGGTTATAAAGTTTGCAGTTATAAATTATGAAAACCGCAAGTCTCTGTCTTTTTCCTTTTGAGTTATTCAAAACATAATTACCGGCCTTGTGTTATGGTGCTAATAGTAGTCAAAGGCATTTTTTTGAGGTTTTTCTTTCATCAAAAATTATCACTGCTTAGTCATCTTTAATGCTTTTAAAGAAATAATAAATGTTTTGAGATGCTGTCGAAGCAAGTTCTACTGGAAGTACTTACGTACGAGTACTGTCTCAAATACTCTCACAAGTTTTGCTTAAAATTTCCTGGGATTTTTCCTAAGAAAATCAAATTCCTTGCCAAGAAAGCTATGTACTTAAATTGCTTTATCTTCTTCTCAGTCACTTGGCCAACCACTCTCTCAAATAACCAGCGAGTATCCCTGTGCGATGCAACAAGAAAATGAAGTATTTGAAAAATACTTCTCAGGTACTTGGACCAGTGATTGCCAAGCTGCAATATATTCAAATACTTCCGAAGTCTCTATACCAGTCGCCACGCACACAATTCACAAGTAAATACGTACCCGCTCTCAAATATTGAGAGGTTAGCTAAACTGAATTTAAGGCAATTTCAAGAGCTTTCTGATGAGATTTCAGTGTATTAGCATACTCACGTTGATTGCTATGAACCAGTGCAATATAACTGTAGCATACAGCCAGATCAGGGTGGTTTGGTGGAAGTGAGATTTTCCGTATTTCAAGAGCTTTCTGATGAGAATTCAGCGCATTAGCATAATCGCCTTGATGACGATAAACTTCTCCAATATTTTCGTAAGAGTTTGCAAGATCAGGGTGGTTTGGTGGAAACGAAATTTTCCGTATTTCAAGAGCTTTCTGATGAGATTTCAATGCGTTTGCATAATCGCCTTGATGTCGATAAACTTCTCCAATATT